AGAGGGAAAAAACTTTGCCTAAAAGATTTCATATTAATCAACTAAAAGATGCAGTAGGAGGTTGAGGTGAGGTTTCAGCATATTGTTTTAGAAGGCTTGGGGTTTTTTTCCCTTCAATTTCAAGGTCTATTTCTACGGACAGAAATTAGGCTTTGCTGAAAACAGTTGCTTCCCATAACTGAAGAATTGTGATTTGGGGGAAGATGCTTGTTTCAATTTGAAAAGGCTACAAATTCATCTATGGTGTCTGGGATGTTTGAAGAGGAAGATGTAAATATAACTGAACGTATTCCTGTGTGAAGGGGAGATTTAGTCCTTCAGTTCTAAGTATATACAAAATTGTACATTTGACTGAAAACTAAAGACAACCTGCCAGCAGTTAAAGGCAGCTCCTTGCTCCCTGAAATGATAGAACTGGTGAGCACTCAACAGCTCATGAGGAATATTCAGTATTGGTAGAACTGAATAGAAGGATAAAAAAAAAATCCACAGCACTCAAAAAGTACAGAAACACCAGCCTTATGAAACAACATTATAGAATCACAAAATGTGTTGTATACAAAATATTCTAAGTAACTTCTATGATAAAACTATCTACATGTATATGCTACTTCATTGCATTGCTATTTCTTTTAAATAACAGAACTAAAAGAGAATCCAACCTTCAGTGTACTCCTTGGTTCCATCCAAGGGATCGACCCATATTACAAGCTTTAAGAATAAAAAAAAAAGGAAAATTAACAACTACAAATCATATAAATTGCCACGCAAAGTATATATTTTACTTGAGTACCTTTATTTCTTTATGGCAGTAAGGCAATAAATAGATCCAAAATTTTAACATCATTATATGACTCAAGCCTTTAAGAGTATTTTACACCAAAAAACAAAGCTTAAAAATTGACTGGAACATCTCAGCAAATCTCTTAATACGAGTATGAAGAATTAAACTGAACATGGAAATGAGATTACTTTCTTATGTCCAAACTAGATTCCTTCCAAATTAATTTGAATCACAAATTGTAAGAAGCAAATTCCCATTTCCCATTATTGCACACAGGGATATGCAGCTCTGGAGGTATGATTCTCATGACTACATTTCAGTTTTCACACAAAAAAGAAAAATTGGCAAAATTGAAACAACCTTTTTTTCTCAATACTCTCTTAGCTAAAATCAATAAGTAATATACATAGTGTAAAATGTGAAGACATATGTATATCATTATCACATTACCTCTTCCTCTTTAATTCCTGTGTACTGAGCAGGACAAGGTTTCTTCAATATTTCTTCACAGTGGCCATGTTCAATTAATTCCTCAGTTACATCATCAGTAGGCAGTTCCTAACAAAAGGATTCTCAGAATTATTAGGAAAAGGTGTTGGACTCACCTCAAGTTGCCTTAGACCTGCGTATTTGCTTGTGGCTTACTTGACAAAGCTAATGCAATGCAAAGGTGAAATAGGCTGAAAATATGGTGTGTTTGGGGTTTTTTAAAATTTAAACAGATGATTTCCTAAACCCTGCCAAAGCAAATTCCACTGCAAGTTACAGCAAGATACATTGTTAGTATGAAACAAACTAGGCACTTACTTCTTCTCCTATGATTGTCACCTTGGGAAACTTCCGTGCCAGGGAAGCACAAATGCTCATTTGTACCAGTCGGTCAGCTTTGGTCTGCAAGTCATTGGGTCCAGCCTGTCCAAGGATGAATAGGAATTCATGTATTAAAAGAACACACCAACCCAGTACAGTGGCCCATACAGTACTCTGAATATCTGTCTTGTAATGAATAAGTAGTCTAATTTGATAAATCATCTTGCGAGAGGCAGGCTAAAAACTACAAGAAACAGAGTTGCCCTGTGCACCCCAGACCTAAGACAGACTGGTATGACATTAGACCAGCACTTACTACTGTGTTCTTCTTGTGCAATTGTACCCAATATATATTTGTGCAAATACTACACTATGTATAGAATGAGTACAAGTATGAACCCAGATATACCAGAAGAGAGAAAGTCAAAAATTAAGATGTTAACAGGAAAAAATTTGTATTTTAAGGCTCACTGGAGAGACATGGAAAATTAGGAAAGAGAATTATAGAGGAGGTGTTAATGAAAGGTGATTTAAAGGTCCAATTAATCTTGTTCGTTTAAAAAACATGGAAACAATTATGATGCATGAACTTTTAATTAGTGAATGGTTCCTCAGGCTTGTAGAAAAAGACCATGGAAGGCCAGAAGCTAACCAGTGAAATTGAGCTGGACAGTAACACCCATACATTTTTTTTCCAGCAAAACTAGAATAGTTTTGTACAAGAGTGGAAACAGTGGATTGGGTGTCTCAAGATGACATAGAGCAATGACTGAAAACCTTCCCGAAAGATATTGTGTAGCCAAACATATGTTACAGTATCTTCTTAAAGATTAATAACCTGCTACATAGTGAAAGTGGAGAATTTAGTAACACTTTTTCACCTAAATCTTCATGTATATATGAATGGAGAAGCCTTTTAAGTCCGGAGACAGAAGGCTAGTAAGAAATAATTTTGCCAGCACTGGAATTAAGAGAATCACTTCATCCAAGATTTGTATCTTAGTTGAATCAAACAAAAATTTTATTCTATCATCTTCGATGTTATTTGCTGACAACATGAAAAATGTTTTAGCCAGCTACAGAAATCAGCCATAGGAATGGAATATTCCATTCAGAATTGTGTTATGGGTAAATTTTTGCATGCTCAAAACCTAAGCTGTCCCTTATCTAATTGCTAATTTCTGTGAAACTTGATATTTTTCTTTGAAATTTCCCTCTCATCCCCTAATAAATTTGGCTGAAATTGGTCCTGAGTTTAGACTCCTATCAGGTTTATTGCAGAGAATGTCCCTCTTTCCAGGACATCAACCTAATAAAAACCAGTATAAAATAATTCTTCAAAACAGCCATCAGTAATCTAAGAATGGCTGGACAAAGTGTCTTAACTACTGATTGCAGTGGGGAATAAAAGTGCAAATGCTACAAAGAGAAGCAATATAAATGGAAAGCTTAAAGTTTACTGAGGGAAAGAAAACTCTGGATCTCAGGAGAGGAAGGATAGGAGCTAGCAAAAAATTCAACTGTCCTTGAACCATTTGCCTAATCAAGATAAATGGATGGGAGGTCACTGTTGAGGGAAAAGGTGGCACATTGCCTTCCTAGATGTTCTAAAGCTTTCAATAAGGCCAGTTGGAATTGGTCTTGATGTCTGCTGGCTGCAGAAAGAGGATGAATGACGAGAAGCAGCACTTTCTGTTCTTGTGCATCTCTTCCCTCCAGCACAGACGGGTTCATTCACTTGCATTCTTCTTCTTCCTTCAGCAGCCACCCTTAGCAAGAAGCTTGCAGGAATTCTGAGTTTCCTAGTCTCTCTTTTGTGTGTTTGTAGTATTCATTAAAAAAAATAAATTAGGAAGTAAGTATAACCAGTCTTATTTAGAACAATATCACCTGTTACTTTTGAATTTTTTTGAATAATGTAAATACCAGCAATTACTTCAATGTAAAGACAAAAAAAAAAAGTTATTTTATGAAGTCCAGAATGTGACATTCTTGTCAAGCTAGAATTAACTTCAAAAGTTAATTCCACCTATTCTAGTATAGTAGTCAAAACAAAGGTCCTGGCTCACCAGTGCAACTTACTAACTTACAGCAAATTAAGAACTTTGTGTAAATGATTGTAATTTAACTTCTGTTTTCTATTTAGAATTAAATTTGAAGCTCTGGATTTATTTTGAAAATTGTGATTTACATTAAAATCTGAATGCCTGAACGTTCCTCAGAAATACTAGTCAAAAGACACTTTTCTAGTGCTCTTTTAATCCCTTAGCAAAGAATATTTCTTGTGTTAGAGAGGTGACGACTATATTTACTTCAAAAATAACAGTGACCTGTACCTAACTCAGCATTAACAAGAGAAATTAAATTGAAACAAAGTAAATGGTAATACCTTCTCCACTATCCCCAGATCTCCTGCAGACATTACATTTCTAACAATTGTTGCAGCTTTTTCGGCAACAGAGTATGCAGAGGCGACCACACGCATGAGTAGGGCTGGAGAAGCCATGCTGAATGCTGGAAAGAAACAAAGAGCAAACTTGTACATAACATGCCAAACAGATACAGTTTAAGCTGAGTACACAGGGGAGAGCAGGTTACTGCCAGCAAGCAGTAATAAAATGAGCTTCGACTTATTTAAAAATAGAGTTAACGAACACAGGGATGTGAAGCTATTTTAGACAGGATTTTTTGCAAATATCCATGTTCTGTCTGACTGAACCTAGTTCTCACTAAAATAAAATCTGACATCAAAAAGAACAGCAGCAGAATGTCAATCATAAATGTTAAGGAAAAATATAGTCTACACACAGTACTCATTTTTTGTATGTTTTGAACAGAAGCTCATTTTTTCAGAACTGAACCCACAGACTTGGTTTGTGCCGACTCAGGCACAAGGCTACCAGACAGGATGACATAAGCAACTTCATTTACTATTTTTCTTTTGTTCAAATATAAAATAGGCTTTTGTACATGGCCTAATTGTGGACACAAAATAGGTTAATGATATGCAGATACTGCAAACTTGTTTGCCAAAGTCTGTTCACCTAAATTTTACCATCCCTTCTGGATTTCTTTAGCTCCTCTTGATTTCTTTAAGGAAATGTATTTACATCTTCCTTCCCCCCTCAATACTGCATGTCCTGTCTCTCTTCCTACTGTAGTATCTTCTACATCTGTTCCCCAGCACACATCAGTGCAATTCACTGTGCCTTCAGTTCCCAAACAGAAGAATAACTATCACTCTTGGGAAGGTTAGCATTCCTCCCAGCTTTTTTTTACCTTAGGAAAAAGAAGTATTAATAACCAAACCTAACTGGTTTTAATGTTTTCCTGTTAGTTTCTTCTGTCTGTGTAGATGACGTGCATTTTGGGTTGGGCTCACATTTATGACACACTTCCAAGAAAACACTTGAGCACAGAGCTAGAAGAAAATACAGAGGAGCTCACTAATCACCACACAGAAGATCTATTGCATGGGAAGTGTAATATAGCAATCCTATCACAAATATCACAATCAATATTTGCAGCAATTGCAGCAGGTCCTGTCTAAGTGGCAATAGGTCGTTGTACAACACCCTTCTTCCTTGAGAAACCATGTTCATGGCTGTTCACAGCAATGGCAAACAGCAATGTCAGAGGTATCAAAATCCCAAATTTCGCTGATTGAAGAACTTTCTGAGCACTTTAGAAACACTGCACTTAGATCTCTAAAGTCAGAAGCTCTCTGAAGCTGAAAGAGTAGAGTGATTGTGTAAGTACCTTCAAAAAGCACACTTGCTACTGTTAATTATTATTTCCTGCACACTGATGAGAGCAAAGTGCTCTGGAGTCCTGTAAAATAGCCAAGGTCCATAACCAAAGCTCACAGCTGGGCTATCCTGGACTCACAGCAGTGGTTACAGGGGAAATTTTGGAAACACTACCTTTGGCAAAAAGCAGCTCTCAAACAACTGGAAGTTGTAGGGCAAATATATGTCATAACACATGGACAGACGCACTATTTTTAAGTATATACCATCATATGAAACAATTAACAGGAAGAAAAACTGACTGTAGTTTGTTCCATGCTGAAAATACCTGGAATATGAGTATTTTTGAGAGAGTAAAAAAAAAAGTAAAAAAGATAGCCTATTAAATGGGAAGTTTGGATTAAAAAAGTGAGCTCACAAGAAGATAATGAAGATTTTATGCTCATGAGTCACTTTGACCTTTTACTGTACACTTGATCCTGCTTCATAAAATGAGATTAAAACTTAATTGTTTTAAAGGCTTGATTTATTTAATGTTTGCATAAAGTTTAAAAAAGCTCAGAAAAGAATGCAGAAATACTATCCTGCATCCTTGAAGCTTGACCCATGGTGTTTCTTGGGCACATTTTTCTGGGCCATTCTTAAGGCAAACAACTATACTTTCTGTGGTGAGCCTGAAATCATTAGGCAAACTTGAAAGTATTTTTATGACAAAACCCCCAAGTTTATTAAAAGAAACTGAAATGGGAGTCCAACACCCCTTCCTTCCCAGTACAGTGTAACTAACTAACTAAATGCAAAGTGTGTTATGACTGCAAAAGGTGCCTTAAATTTTTACATGGCTGCATCTCCTGCGTGGCACATTTTCTGGTGCATTGGACATTTTTGGTTACGGTTAACTGTGCGCACTAGTTGGCTATAAGTTTCTCATCTCTAACTTTTTGGTTTCAAATTGACTCGTTTGTTTATAAGTTTATGGCACATTTGTTTTAGATGTTGGCCATGTCTAACATCCACTTCCAGAAGACATTCAAGAATATATTGCGTGCTCTGGACAAAACCAGTTTGAATCTGACAAAACTGCACAATGTACAAAGATTGTATAGCAACTGTCCCTCGATTTAAATTTGTGTATCATTTTCAAAACACACCTTGTGTTCCATAGACCATCCCTCCTTTCTCCTAGTCTAGCAACCAAATTATTGAATGATCTCAACAAATCAGCCTGCTTTGCCATCTCCTAAAATAAATGAGCTCTCTCCAGTTTTTGCTCTACTTTTTAGTATTGATGTATTTAAGTGTTACAGGCTGGCTACAATTAATTCACCAAAAGATGAATGACAGATTTGTTGACATGGCTAACTCGGTCTCTCTTCTGCAAACTTCCAATTTCATGATTTTGCCTGATGAAAGGAGAAAGTAGGCATCACATAGCACATGCCTTTAAGTGCAAGTATTGAGCTATGACTTCTTCCTTGAAACCCTTCAACGCCCAAGAGACCAGAGCTCCCTATTTCTTTACAATAAACTTTGGCTCACGTTTAGTAAAAGGTAAACTCTGCATGATGTAAGGAGGCAGTGTTTACCCAGCAGAAGCAGGCTAGGACTCACAGTGAGAACCCTTAGGCTCCACTCAGTATTACCAGGTGGGAAAGGGCTGCGTACCTCATTTCACCAAAGTGCTCTGAGGCCTTTTGAGTTTGTGTTAAAAAAAAAAAAAAAAGGACAAAAGCGATAAGCCTATTCCTGATTGTCCTGACATGAATATTCCCGGTAGTAAACCGCCCGCGGCGCACAGAGAGTTATGAGCGAGCGCATCCCGTGCGAGTGGATGCTCCCGGGTGCATCCCGCGGCGCGGGGCAGATCGCGGCGCTGGTCGGGGGGGTCAGGAGCAGCT